TTGTGCCAGCGTTTCACCACCCTCAGTGTAAAAAATTTCTTCCTTACATGTAGTCTAAAGCTCACCTCTTTTAGTTTAAAACCACTACACCTTGTCCTGTTGCAACAGGCCCTGCTGAAAAGTCTGTCCCCATCTTTCTTTAAGTACTGGCAGGCTGCTCTGAGGTCTCCCCCGTGTCCTTCTCTTCCCCAGGCTGACCAGCCCCAGCTCTCCCAGCCTTTCTTCACAGCGGAGCACTGGAACAGGCTGCCCAGAGAGGTTGTGGAATCTCCTTCTCTGGATACAGTCAAGGCCCACCTGGATGTGGTCCTGTGCAACCTCCTGTAGGTGACCCTGCCTCAGCAGGGAGGGTGGACCAGATAACCCACAGAGATCCCTTCCAACCCCTAGCATCCTGTGATTCTGTGAAATGGCCGTTGTGGAGAGCGATAGCTCGGTCTTTTACATTTCAGCATTTGGAGAAATAAGGCATAACAGACACATCCCACGTGGACAGATCAGATGCGGTTATTATAGTGGCATTTTGTGATTTTTTCACACTTACATCCCTACTATGAAACACGGACTTTTGGGCTGTGCTCAGGGTTAGGACACTCAGACCCAGACACGCACAGGGATCAGAACAGGCGTTGTCATAGAAGTTCATTTTGCACTGTGCTTCCTCTCACCCAGGAGGGCAATTCCAGACTCCGCGTTGTCTCCAGAACGTGCGATGTGTTTACCTGGGAACGTGAGGCAGTGGCGTGAGGAGCTCTGGTAAGCCATGGTTTCTGCCAAAACCCCTCCTGTAGGGCTCGGGGAGCAGGTTAAGCACGATAAGGGGCCAGGGTTTATTGTCCCTGGACAGTCCGAGCTGTTTCAGCAGGGTTTCCACACAAGCTGGCACGGTGACAGCGCAGCAACCACCAAGTGACTCATCTGCCAATTTGTTCATTTGCAACTAAACCTATGGAAAATAAGCACCAAGGAAACTTAAAAACCACAGACTCCTGCCCCAAGAAGCGAAGCAGGAAAACAGCACAGCATCCAGCAGCTGCCAGAAAGGTCCCGGTCAGATTTTTCACATGTACCTTTCAGAAGCTGATGTCCTAAAGTGATCGCAAAAGAAACAAAGCTTTGTCCACAGCTGCTTTATTTCTAAAACTCCAATCCAGACAGAGGTTCATATTCAAACAGCTTCAAAATTCAGGTGGTGGTCACGTCCACATCAGATTTCCATATACCTACATGTAGATACAGACTACGTATACAGCATATGTATATATAGTTTCTGCTGATAGCATATTCACACACAAATGAGAGGCAGAGTTGGTTCTATATACACAAGGAGTGTACTGGAGCATAAGTGATGACAGAGAGATGGAATATATTTATTTCAGCCAAGCTGCATGGCAGAGAAACATATTGAATTTTTGTCATGTGGGTGGCTTATGTTTTGATTGCTTTTGACCACTAAGAAGCTCAAAAGAAACACTGATAAAATCCATGCACGCAGGGGAAAACGTCCTTTTCATCACTGTTGCTCACTATCTTGATTAAACACACAGAGAAATGACTTGCTAAACGAGGCTTAAACTCTCTCCAGTTACACCATGTTCTCACTGTACCCCTAGCAACACAGGCAGCAGCCCAGCCTGGACGCCTGGCAGCCAGGACTCGGATGCCTCCCGTGCTGCCCTTCCAGAAGTGCCGGAGGAGCAGACGGACCCCCAGCAAGCAGCGCAGAGGCTGCCCTGCAGGCCCCAGCCTTCACCACCCCAACATCAAACACCAAAGCACTGAGAAGAGAGAAGAGGATGGCAAACCAAGCTCACATCCCGCTCAGCCCTCTCCTGCGAGCGCAGCAGCATTGGTGGCCACGGGGCCAGCCCCTACACTCGCTCCAAGGGGCTGCGCTGGTGCCCAGTCCTCGCTCACAGCCCCAGCCCGGGGTCCCCATGACACCCTTGGCTCCCTTCCACACACACGGCAGCCTGCACGGCTCTGGGTGCACAGGGGCAACTTTTAGCCGTGCTGTGAGAAGGCAGCTAGCCGGAAAGAAGACACAAACAGCTTCAATCAGAGCCTCAGCTCCTCCTACTCCCAATTGCTCAGTCAAAAACATACTGCCTGTGCCTGTAGCATCGTGATCTTCCTCAAAAAAGAAAAAAAAAAAATCATCCAGAGGCCTTGCGAGCATGGAGGTGTTTGCTTTAAAATGCTCTGCTCTTTTCTGCAGGGACACCATGCACAGTAGTTCACACCAACAGCCAAGCTAGCCATTCTCCCCAGGGCGCACTGATGTCTAAGCGGCATGTGAGCCGATGTGAACCAGCTACCACAGCTTCAAGAATCAATGGATCACTCTGCCTCCAGTCAGTAAGTCTGTGGATCTGCCAATTATATCCTTGATCTGTCCTGACATCAAAGGGAAGCTGCAGCCTAGAAGCAGAGCAGGCAATTGAAGAAAGAATTGTTCTCAGCAAGATTAGCAGAAAAAGCTGGTAACATTCAGTTACTAAATACATCAAACAGCAAACTGCAGTCTCTCTGCTGCAAACTAATAATACTTAGTGGACATTAAACCTTTCAAGCATCACACAGTGCTATTTACAGCAGAAAGAGGGCATTCTCCTGGTATGCATTTCACCATGGAAGCTCATTTATCATTGTTTATCAGCCTAACAACTAAAAGATTTGGTACTGTTATCTAGCAGAAGGAAAGGGTTTATACCAGAAACTCAGATTCTGGGCAAAGCCTTTGGCACTTCTTCCCTCCCTGACTTTGACTCCAAGGAAATGAATAAGCAGCACCATCTAACTAGATGATCCGAAATGGAAATGGTTGGCTTAAAGTACCTCAGACAGCTACGGGAGTGAAAGCCAAGAACAGAACCAAGAGCAATGCAATCCAGTTGGTGGCTAGTAATCTCTAAGCATTCACAGGCAGCCGACCCCACAGGCCTGAACAACGCAGCCACCCGTCAGCAAACGGATGTACTTCTTCATAGAAAAGGTAAGCTTGCTGGTGATCAACAGGAATACTATGAGAGATTTTTTAGAAATGATTATGAGAATCCTAAATCTGGGAGAACCAAAAACAAAGAAAAGTCTTTTAGCCTACATAGGAATAGCTGTACCGTGTTTCTGAGAAGAGCCTAGCTCCATCTTCTTTTTACCCTTCCCATGCAGGCACGGATTCATATTCATATAAGATTTATCATTATGGCATCTGGTGATGATACTAGCTGGAAAAAAAAAAAAGCTATTGTTTATCACCAAAGAGTAAGTCGATTACCAACATGGCTAACAAGTTTCTGCTAGTCGCTGACCAAAGCTGCCACTGGCAGATCTCAGCGCACCCAGCTAAGAGCAGGAGGATAGGCCAGGCCCGCACCGCCATCCCACATCTCGCCGCAGGAGCGGATACGGCAACACCAACAGTCGCATTCCGCTCCCTGGGGCAAGTCAACTCTGCCAGTCATGACTTGTCAAGAGGAGCTCAAACAAGACAAGGGATGCCATATCCAAGAAATACAACCATTTATTTCTGAGCACAAACCCACACATTTAGATGTTATCCTTGTGTCATTTTACTAATCCATGTTTCTTCAACACAAAAATAGATCCCCATAATGCATCAAATTTGTCATTTTGGTTATGTCCAAACCCCACTCCCAAAGTTAGAGCTGACTGACTGCATTGGGGTAGGTGAATAGGAATGAACTCTGATTCCAGCAATACTGGGGTGGGGGGAATAAATCTTACTACACATGCACTGCCTCCAAAACTTAAATTCTTAACTGTGATGGTACACTTCTGGGAAGACTGCATTAAAGATACCTAAATTATTCTGATGTGCCATTTATTACACTCAATTTTATTTCTATACAATTTGACACAAAATAAGTCATTTTTGTAATACAGTTTGTCATGAAAACTGCTTAGTAGGGCACAAAAGAAGTAATATTACTTGGAAAAATTCAGCAGCAGTCTGCCTTTCAGCACTAGCAGTTACAACAGAAGAGGTGCCATTATTGTATAATAGTATACTTTTATAGAGGTAAGGGATTACAGAAGAAACAAAACTCTGTAGGAAAAAAGCATCATGCTGTTCCTTATCAAAGCTACAAAAACAAAGCAAGCAAGGACAACAAGTTCTGCTTTGTTGAAGGTACAACACTGAGGTCTGAGGCCAAGAAGAGAAAAACCCAGAATTTCCCAAGACAGTTATCAGGTAAGCTTTAAAATGAAAAAAATCAATTTTATGTTTAACTCTATTCAGGTATCATATGATAGAAGAGAAGAATACATTCTCAAAACTGGAATATGAGTTATGTCTTACCCTTATTGGTAATGTTACTTAAGTACACTACTGTGCTATTCATTCAGTAATTTACAAGTGTTCATAGAGCCCCATAAAACCTTTTTGTTATATTTGTTTTATAGGTAGGAACTTGAAGGCAGAATGGTTAACAGCCTGATTTCTAGAAACACACACAGACCTCAAGAATCAGGCCTCTCAAACAAATCAGGCCATTAGGGTTTTTTGTCCCTACCGCACAAAGACGCAAGTTTCAAATGCAGGGAAAAAGCTCCAAGTTTCCATTTCTCAGATCTTAACCAGAATGAAAGACCTTCTCTTGTCTATTTCTGTGAGACCATATCTAGACAACTTCTCTAGGTGTAAGTCTTGCTGAACTCCTGCAGCTCGCTACCTGTTCCAAGCCATATGCTGTGTCCTTGCAAGTACTGATCAAAACAGTTTGTACGGTCGTGAAAAGAGCGGGTGCTGACAGAGATTCAAAATAACCAAGCAAAAAACATGAACAAACGGGAGGGAGAAAGTGGGTTCAGGTGCAGTGCCACTTACAAGAAACACAGCATGTCAAGGAGTGCCGTGAGCAGCTTTACCATATGACAGTCGGCGTCTTCCAAACAAGCAAAAGGCTACCTGAAACCAGCATCCATTTATGACAGTAAATATGCCATTATATAATTAACCAACAGCCAGAAGCTCTACTCATCAGTTGTACAGTTTATTTAGACAAGACAAAAGCTTGCACAGTTTTGTAATTGTATACAGAAATGAAAACATCTGAAATATATTAGGTTTTTTCCCCCTGTATATTTAACTTTGTACTTCATTCTTGGAAACGTGACCTTTTTTCTTTTCAGGATTCACGTTTCAGCAGTACATATGCTCCCATTACTGCCAGAAGAGCATACTGCAAGAGAAAACAAAGAATAAAGACTGAGACTGATTATAATTTCTTTTCATAGAAGCTCTGAAATTACAAATTGTTCAAAGTATGTCCTCTCCAACCTTACAGGTGAGTACACAATTACTGAGTTGTGTTCCTAGAGAATTACAGGACTACTTCAGTGTCACCATATTCATTGTAAATAGACATCGCAACTGTATACATCTAACTTACGATATTCCTATAAATTATGCTTTCAAATGATTACAAATACTAAGTTCTACTGGATGACAGAAAAGCTAAAATGAGCAAGAAAACACAGCTCATTTTACATTAGGTATCAAACCACAGAAATAAATTTATTAACATGTACTCTTATATGCAAGATTCTTACCACCTTTACTTGCTATTTCATAGTTTTAAATTCAAGTATGCAAAATGTCTGGATACATACCTTAAATTTTGGATAGTCATTCATTATTATAGTTACCATACCAACATAAGGCAAAAATCTGTAATTGACAAAACAGATCAATGTAAAATTAACCCTCAAATATTACGTGGAAATGTTTCAATGTTACTCAGTCTCGAGCATTTCAGGTAATGGGTTTCAGAGGAAAAAATTCAGATAGACAGCAAGAGCTTTAAAGACAATACATATTTCATAAAAACTTGGGAGCAAGATCTCTCATATCTCCCTCTCCTCCCATGCTTCATCTTCCTGCGTATTATTCATAGCATTAAAAATACACATGGATCCCAGAAATGGCAAGTAACTATCATTGTAACGAGGGGTACCGCAAAAGCCTAACATCCTACAATACAGGGGAATCTGCTTTTCAGGACCTCCTGTTGTTCTGCACCTGCAAAAGCCATATAATCTAACACAGAAAGGGTTCAGACTAATATGGAAAGTATTTTAAATTAGCAATTAACCCAGTCTTCCACCATTAAAGTTTCAGAGGGGCACTTGTTCTGTTTCTTTTTATTTAGCTTGAAGACAGGGACAGAATCTTAAAAAAAAAAAAAATCAAGCAAATAAATATCTTGCAGAAAAGTATTTTGTACAATTTTGCAAATTAACCCTGTATTTATGACAACTTATGGAACTCAAATTAGGCAAGCAAACACACAAGTACACAACGTGATGTAAGAAGTCCCACTTCCCACTGGGCTTGGCCTAGACATTAAGCCTAGCCTACGGGACACAGCAGAACTCACACCAAGCTTCTCATGGCACGTCTGAGACTCTCAGCCCAAACAACACTTTGCCACAGGCTCTAAGCAGAAGTGTTCCAAATAACCACAGTGTAAAGCAATCATTTATGCTTCTCACTAACACGCATCTGAATGCAAAGTATTTTTTTTCCTTAGATAAAAATTTAATCGAGTTATTTGAGAAAAATCTTAAGAGATTTCATCTCAGCTGGGGAAGGGGATAAAGTCAAAAGCTTAAACCTTGTGTAGAATTCCTGTAGCACGTGGAAATAATTTCCTAGTAATTTCTAGCAATTACAAGGATAAGGTGGTTAATTTTGTATTTACTGGTGAATTATTTGTTAAGTGTGCCATTTTTTCCTAAAAATTAATTTCCACTTCCCACATCAGTGAAAGGACTACAGAAAGCAACTTCTCCAGGTAAAGTAGTTTTTTAAATTATTATTTTATTTAAGACATTTAAAAAATACCATACATGTAGCCAACAGCAGAACTGGTTTAAATTCTAAATTTTCTATTTTTGTTACAAAGAACACAGACATTTTGCATTACTTACCCTCTGGCTCTTCCAACAACATCCTTCTTCTCTAACCAGTTCTGACCCTCTTTGTACAAGCCTCTATCATCAACTTCATTGTTATCACCTTTAGTCAGAAATTTGATGTTCCCATTTTCTCTAGAAGGCAACAAGGTGATAAACTAAATACCACTTAATTAAAAAACCTCAATTAACATCTACAAAGCACAATGAAAAGTGCTACGAGATTAGATAACAATGTTTACTTGTAGTCCTGGTTGTACTGCTTATTTGACAAACACCATTAAACCATTAAGGTTACAGATTTTACTGACAGAGTCAATCGATTTTAACAAGAAATGCTTTTTAACACACTCCTAGATTGTCATTTGATGTAAGCAATTACACAACGAACATGAAAGGGATATCGTCCATCCAGAGCAAGCACCAAACTTCCTCAGCAAAAGCAGTATGTGCCTACCTGGGAAAAAAAACCCCGACCCTCTGCATTTTCAACAGAACAGAAATTTAACTCGGAAATACTGAATAATACCCTACTAAGAGTTTTTTGAGTGGGTTTTGTTTGTTTACGCAAATTGTGGAATAAGATCCTGTGAAGTCATCACACATTAGAGAATGAATTTAATTGAATTTGAATCACAAATTTCAGATGAGGTAGACCCTAAAAATCTTCCCTTATGAAAGAAAGTGTTATAATAATACAACGCTTTAGGCAATTTTCCTCTAAGTTCTATACACTTGTTTAACTCTTAGTAATCATATTTATGCCAAACTAGAGCTTTGTCCTCCTTTTGATGGACATAAATGTTGAAGACTCTCTAAAGTAGCTGCAATTCTGCATCAGGTTCAGTATTTTGTCACTAACACTGCACTACACCTTTTAGGTCGCTCATCAGTTGTTAAACACCACAGTGAGTTCCAGGCAAAACCTTACTCGTGTTTGACATTTATCAACATGGCAAACAAAAACAACACAGATAACCAGTCTCTAAATAACATCCTGTGGACAAAACACTATGTGGGGTTTTTAGGGGATTGTGTGGAGAAAGCCAAGCAACCTTGGAGGAGGTGGCCCTGCTTCCCACCACGGACAGACACCCGCAGAGCTCACAGAGCCAGGCTGCTCCCTCAGAGCGGGAGCTCATGTCCTGACCTTGCCTGCCCACTGAGGGGGCTCAGTCCTTTTTGTAGGAACACAGGGTTAAAACCCTGAACATGCCCAAACCATAACCCTTCCCTACCGTTTCAAATAAAGTACTTTACACCACACAACCCAATTTAACCACTGCTGCTAGAAAACCTGCCGTGTTTCGCTCCCTGTCAAGCGCTAGGCATCACTAGGCATATGTGCAGATAATGGATGCAAGACTGCAGATCAACACTCCCATTTAAATAAAGTTTACAGTCTTCAAAATGATTCTGCTCAAGAAGCTGCTAATTGCAAGTAATTATATCAAAAACCAAGGAGTTTTTATGAAGACAGATTAAGTGTTAGCAAAGAAAAGGAGTTAATTCTTGGATACATATATTTACTTCAAAAACATGTTGAAGAAAAGATACTACTCAAAAGATGAAACACCGTCAGTTCACGGCCAGGACCTCCTGAGGAGCAAACTGTCAATCCATGCCACTGCCAGGTTAGCTTTTTGCTGTGCAGAATTAGAAACAGAATTGCCTCTCTTTGTTTCAGAAGGAACTGTTTATCATACCAGGCATACGCAATAAAGGTAAAAACCAGTAATCTACCTGTTGCATTTGAGCATGAATTGCTGCTGGCATTGTGACTAAGAGACACAAAGGGAGTAAGAATCTCTTCTTTCATTCTGAGTCATGCCTCTTTTCTGGAAAACTTCAGTTGGCAAAGATCAGATACTTGCCAGACTTCATCTATAGTTCTGATTCTGAATCTTCTCCGTCTTTCAGAGATTTGCTTTTAGAAGTAGCGATTTCTCATAACCAAAATCCCAATTCTGCACAGAAGCGCACTCTACTCCCATACATATTGCTACTGCTGGCAAAAATAGCGTGTATAGATTGTGTCACTGGACTCTGGCACAGGTTTACCTACTTCGAACCCGAGCAACTTCGCCAAGGACATGCGTCAGGGTCTCAAGAAGCACACCACAGAACTGGGGACAGAAGTGGATCACATCCTAGAGATGAGTTTTAACTTACAGCATATCCTCACTTGCCTTTTTCATAAAATACTACCAAATTAAAATGTAAGTGAAAGTCATGGTGAAGAAAACTGTACTTAGAAACAAGGAAAACGCCAAGCTGCATTACTTTTCATGTATCTTGATTACTCTGTGAACTATTGGAATGTCTCTGCCTTCAACTTTAAAAACAACTATTTCACCAGCTCTGATTGGGTCATCATGGAAATTTGTTAAGAACAACAGGTCTCCCCTGTGAAAAGCTGGCTCCATGCTGCCACTACAAACAAAAAGAAAGAGAGAGTTAATTAGCATTATGGTAAATGAAAGAAGAATAATTAAAACAATTAATTCTTACAGATAAACTCACAATTTTAACTGATATCTGTAGCTTCACCCATTCAGTAACACTACACAGACATTTAACACAACCTAAACCTCCGTAAGTCCCAAGCTGAGCCAGCCTACAGAAGTTTTTCTTACTGCCAGAACGAAAGCACGAAAGAACCTGTATAGAAAGGTACAGTATTGTAGCTATGAGGAAGGAACAAAACGAGCCATTCTGGTTCAGAAAACCAATTTGTTAGCAAAAAGCAAGAAAAAAAGGTTCGGGAAGTGCAACTGGAAGTAATTCCATACATAGAAAGAGTTTAACTAACATGAGCAAGAGTTATGCTTACATCAGTGATTACTACTAACATTCAGAAAATCCATGTCTTTTTTCAAAGTCAGCCTTAGTATCTCTTGGTAACAACCTTTAAGGTGCAATTCCAGATTCCATAACTAATAACATGGACAGATGACTGCCATTAAACTACTGTTATTTACTGCATATGTTCCTTACTGACATGCATTCAATTTCTGTAAGGCTGAATCTTCCATGAACACGTGATTAACCCCATGCATTTGATGAGCACCCAGGGGCCTGCAGAACTGGATCTTTATAAGCCACATATCTACTGCTTCTACACATTTCAGTGAAAACTGGACTGCAAGTACAAAAGCAGCCTTTGCTAAGTGTCCAAAACCAGAGTTAGCAACCAGTAAGTGTTTGAGTACTTCTTTAAGTAGGTGAGACTTCAAACTGCAAATCTGTCCAAGGGTGAAGGGGAGGAGACAAAGGACAAAACAATATTTGGACTTTAACAAAAAAAGCCTTTACATTGACTTACCTGAGCACCACAACAATAGGGCTTTCGCTGCCAGTAATGACGATCAGCCCCTTCCATATCATAAGGGCAGAAGACACTATCATCGCAAAGTTTAAGACTTGGTAATACAGCTATACGAAACAAGAAGATTGGTTTTAAAAGTTACTGTGTTGTATCCAGAAGCACAATACAGCATTTCAACCCACACGCAACACGGAATCACGATCCAGGCACGTGGACTTTTACGTTAAATTGTATTCCACCAGAAGCCTCGTGGAACAGATCGCTGTATCGGCAATCCAACCACACAAACCACACTGCAGCATAAAATTTTAATGCATTGGGTGCCTTTATCTTGGCTAATTGCACCTGTGCAATGCTCCCACGTGTTAGTGCTAGCAGACAGTGAACTCACTATGCAGGCCATATGGCAAATGATCAAATCTATTTTGATCACACATCCCCAACTCCTATGTGAGCTCACAGATATCCAAAACACACATAAAAAATAGTGTAAGATCAGTAATAGCAGACTTTGTACTTTGAAGAGGACCTGTGGGAGCAGAAGGGAGAGGACAAAGGATCATTTCCTGCTATTGTCAGACAAAAATCTTCTATATGGAAAACAGTTTAGCAATTTGACTATCTTTCTGCCCAAAATTCTATCGCTTCGGTAGCCATTACAGCAGTGGACACACTCCTGTCACGCTGCTTCCTTTTTTTTTCCTTGGCAAGATGCGAAGACGGTCTGGTGGAGAATAACCCTGCCCTTCTCCACCTGTCGTGGGGCTCACCGATGTGAGACACGGAACCAGCAGCTCCCAGACCACCACTCTGGTTTGAAAACAGACGCGCTGCGATATTCAAGTACACGACCCGCTTAACCAGGCATCAGTCCAGCTTCCGAATCTGCTCTGAAGCGGTTTTTTAGAATGACTCATAGACATTAAAAAACCCCCAAACGACCCAGGGAGCTTCCGCAGCCGGGAAGCCAGAGGTTCCTCCCCAGCCCTG